TAACCCTGACCATCGTTTGACTGGTCAATGGAGGTCGCCGGCGGGTTCACGTGATTCTGGAAATCAGCAGGCAGGCCGGAGGTCACGTGAAAGAGGCGGGTGGGTGAAGATGAGGTTGAAGTAGAATTTAGGTTTGCAGTGGCTCATTTTTTAAAATTTGATAAGTTTTAGAGACTATTTTAAAATTTTAAAAGTTTTAGTTAATTGCAACTAAGACCTCGAGCAAATCTGAAAATTTTGAATATAGTTGTCACAATTCATTTTTTGTTTAATTAAATTAAAATAATAACATAAACAATTGAATATACAAAATCAATGTAAAAAAAAAAAAATAGATTAAAATCACAAATAAATATGAAACATGTATTCCGGTGCAGTGCACTAATTTTTGTCGCGCTTCTAGGCTCTTGAGGATTTGATCCAAGAGTCGGTTTTCTCTCATCATATACATGTTTGAAGCTAACAAGTAGTATATGTTGGAATTCAATTTAAGCTGATATATAGAGTAATGGAGAGTAATATAATTAATTATAAAGAATATGAAATAACATGAAAAGTAAGCAAAGATTAATATAGTAGCTAGTGTGAGGAAAGTAAAGCAGTGTAGAAAAGTTGGTTCCAAGTATCAGGCAATCCCGGAAGACACCAATGGCTGCAGTCGAGATTGTTTGATGTCCCACCGTAGAATGAGGGGTGGGCATCCCTCCTTATGGCCGATAACATTGTAATGTTGAGCAAAAACGGACGCTTCTTCATGGAAATCAACACCTCATGCAGCACCTTCATTTGATCCGAATATGTCACTGTGTCGCTTGACTTTTTGCCCAAAAACTTAGCCACCCCATTACATCTATTGAAATAATGGATGGATTGTCACAACGCAAAAGAAAATTCATGTACAAGAGATAGCCAGGTTAGTTAATTTGGTTTTGTTTCTCTTTATGCATTTTACACTGTATTAGATATATTATAAGGAAAAAAAAAAATAAGTTAACTGCGAATGTGAGAAAGAGAAGATATATACCTGCTATGCGTAGGGGAGATGCCCAGAAAAAACACTTTGCGTTTGGTGGTGTCGATGTGTTTGTCAACCCAACGAGCCCAGGTTTTCAATCCTTGCATCAGAGCCACCGATGGATCCATATTTACGTATTTACCCTCATGAGTCTCAACGTAATCCCACCTGCATGCCATTTTTTTTTAATTAATTATACTTAATTTATACTTGTATTAAAAGGGTAGTATTTACCAAATTAAGTAGCCAGAAAAGTCAACAGCATTTATTGTATTACTATTTTCGTATTATATTATATAAAAGGATATTCTATTTACTATATTTATTATCCAGAAAAGTCAACTGCATTAAATGTCATTACTATTTTGGTATTATAATATTTAATTTATTTAATTGATTTATTTATTTATTTTATTTTAAAAAGATAAGTATAATAAAAAGATTTTAATAATAAAAAGTTTAAATACCAAATAAAAATATACACTTTGACTTATTTGATTATATTTGATATTTGATTATACCAAATATATTCCTATTTAGTATACACATTAAATACTTACTAAAGTATTTATTTGTTTTATTTGTCAAAGTTAAGTATAGATTTGTTTATATTATCAAATCATAAAAAATATTAAATCCATATTGTAAAAAAAAAAAATCATATAATTTTATAACAATTCTACTACACTATTTAACAATATTCCTTTTTTATTATATAATAAAATAATAATTAAATATTATATGGTGAACAACAATAAGTAAAACTGTTACTTTCTCTTATATCAAGGGATAAATTTATATGCTAAAATTAAATTTTTATTAGTATAAATGTTTTAGTGAGATAATATATTAATTATTTTACAAGCTAGCCCTAACATGCTCATATTTAATGTTTTAAAAGATGTAGAAAAAAAACTTATAATAACTCTATTGTTTTTTAGACTTAAACGTTGATTAAAAGAGATAAAAATTCCTAATTTATTAGACTTAAACGTTGATTAACACCATAGATTGAGAGTTTATATTTTGTAAAATTCCTAATTGTAATACAAAATTAATTTTTGTTATATTTTAGAATATCTTTAAATTCATTATAAAAAAAAAGAAAAAAAAACTACAATGAAAAAAACAAATCAGCTATATATCGATTTGTTGTACTCCTCAAATCACATTCACAATTTGGCTACAAGAAAATGAAACTCATTGATTAAAATATTATTTTATCAGTAGTGTTAATATACAAAAGAGACTTTAAGACTCCACTTGAATATAATAAATTTTTTATTGAACATCGTACAATTTCTTGCGTATTATAAACTTTTATTGAATATTGCATCTTATAATATAATATTCTCCAAATAAATATATCTCGCGGGTCACGTCCGTATATTTTTCTTTATTCATGTATATAATTATAAGTCTAGATAAATAGCTTTAAAATTGTGCACCCCGTGCATCGTACGGGCTCTGTACTAGTTTATAACTTAATTGGGGAAAAAAAAATTGAATCAATAAATCAAGGCGGCGGCCATTAATGCGTGATTGAATATAGTTCATTTTATTTTTTATTTAGTACAATTAATTTATTACTTCACTATCATATCAACTGTTAATTATTGTTCGGTTGTTGCCCATTTACAAGTTGGTTTTACGGTTTTTGATCATCTTTGGCCTTTGGGTATATACCATTCCATCAATCATATAGTATTCAAATTAACCCTAAACTATATAATGGAAAAAAATATAAAAAAACAAAAAATAATTAAAATTTGAACTGGAATAAATATGTTATTATATTATCACTTTTTTATCTTATATTTGGTCATGTTATAAGAATGACGTAATTAAAAAAAGTTGTAATAAAGTAGCTTGAAAATAACTAATCACCTGATAGATCGATTGAATCCCCTCTATATATAATTTCAGAATGCGTTGATCCTACGTGGCAAATTCTCATGTTTCGGTATCCTATTTGGCAAAAAATCATACTTTGGAGTTAGGTTTGGATATAAATTAATATTTGTATTAATTGTATTTTAATATCATTTCCTATTATAACCATTGAATTGCACATGTATTTTAAAAGTTGATAACTTTTGTATTTCTTATCGGTTTTACATATATAATATCAAATTAATCATCTTTTGATGAGCTTCGATTTGACATTCACATTGTATATATAAAATAAATAAATAATATTTATTTTTATAATAATAATAAAATTATTTGTTAAAATTAATTAGAAAATAAAATTATTTATCAATTAATATATTTATGTTTAATGTAGTTATATGTTATAAGGTAGAAAAATTTATTATAATATAATATATATAAGTCGCACAAGTAACATGTGTCATTCTAAAATATATAATAATATATACTCCCTCCTATTTTTATTATTTGTCGCTTTGGCAGTTTGGCTTAATTAATTGATCATTGATAAAATAAATGTCGTTTTAGATATTTTGTTCATATTTTTCCATTTTTAACCCTCCATCTAATACACATTGTATCTTCATATCTCATCTTCATCGTTTCCCATAACATCCATTAAATAGGATTAATATTGTCAAGAAAAAAAAATCTTAATTAATGTGTTGCATTTGAATTGATATTATGAGGTCCATTTGTATTTTACTATATATATATATATATATATACTTATATATATATATGAAATACCTTTATCTATGAATTAGGCCTATTAGTAATATATTACTAATAAGGATATAAAATACTTTTATCTATGAATAGATACAAAACAGTAATATATATCCTTATAGATAAAATTTAAATTTATTTATCAAACTAATAAATTATATCAAATAAAACTATAAATTATATTGTAAAGTAATAGAAATTAGCATGTATTCGTTTAAAAATGATATTTATTTCAAGTCTAATTGATATGTTGTCAATGTAATATAAATAAATAATTATTATTAAATTCTAAAATTATATATAAAGTTAAAAAACTGTGTAGCACGACTGATACGTTACTTGATGTATTAGGCATCTAATTAAGTAAGAAAATTAATCTATTTTGCTTAATATTAAATAAACATATTCCACACTTATGCATATACATATCATCATAATATTTCTATTTACTTAAGATATATATTTTTGTACTTATGTAATAGTAAATAATATCGATATTTTTATATGATATAAGTAAAAAAATTCAACATGGGTTGACATTTTCATTTAATGTACGGGTGTTTAATTATTATGATTAAAAAAACATAATTTGACAATTTAATTAAAACCCAAAGTAATGTTTTATATAAAATTAAATTATTTTAGTTTTTAAAAAAATAAAAAATTTAATATTTTTTACAAAAACTTTCTAATTCAACACCCGTGTAGTAGTTTTTAATTATAAAAAGAAAAAGTTATAATAAAGTAGCTTGAAATTGCAAAGTTTGGGCGGACCTTGTTTTCAAAGTACTGAATGCAAACATGACAAAACTAAAATGATGTGTGAAGATAAGTAAAAATAGTTAACCAACCCTTGGAGTGATTTTTGGTGTGTCCACCAATGGCCTGTGTTGAAAGAAAGGACGTCTGCTTTTTTCCATGCTTTCGCATTCCGCCATATGTTTCCCAGTCTCAGTACCCTTTTTCCCTTTACCGACACAACATCCACTAGGTAAGGGGCCCGGTAAAACGACACCGTTACACCATAATCCTGTACCAAAATAAATAATGAATTTCCATTTTTTTTTAACACCCACATGATATGCAGTAAATAAAAACATTTACTGAGATGACCATGAATTCGACGGTGTAAAGAGGATCATCTGTGACTATCCGCATGCGCTTTGGTTTGGGTAGACCAGCGTGTATCATACAAACCAAAGACTCCCATTGGTTCCTCCCTAACGAATCACCCACAAACATCACGCGCTTTCTTCGCATTCTTTTCAAGAATTTCAGCGCACTAAATCTACAATCAATGTGTTTTTAGAAAAATATTTAAAATACGGTGCCAAGTAATTAAAAATCGTTAAGGTGATCAACCTCAATTAAATAGCTCATCAATCCAAGACAAACAATATTACTATATAAAAGCTAACTATTGTCACCATTAAATACTAACACAATATATAAATGCACACAAAAAATAAATTTAATTACCTAGCTCCATAAACTCAAATGATTATAAAAGTATGTATAATAACTATTAAGCTTCCAATTGGTTCCAACGAAAATTTCAACTAAAATATTATGTTGGAAAGAGTTTTCCATTGTAATCTCTGTTGGATTTTGATGATTCCAACAGTAGAAATGTGGGTGAAAGTAAAAATTACAACAGTAAAACCGTTGGGCTGATCAAATTTATCTGAAATTTTAATGAAAAATACATTGAAACAAAATAATTTTGTTGGAATTTTCGTTGGCATATTGTAATGGTCAGTACATCCAGTTGGATGGACTAGTAGTTACATTATGATATTTTAAACTTTAACACTATTCTTGATCAAAATTACAGCATGTATCAAAACTATAAATAGATAGAATTCGAAGATATAAAATATAAAAAAATAATAAAAAACTATACCGTGGAATTTGGCATTTGGCAGGCTGCCAACGACATTTGAGGTACTCGGTGTCCGGTCTCTTATGCATTAGGCAGTTGAATTGAGGGTCAATTATGGGACAATCAGAATATTTGTAGAGAGGATAGGTGTTGTCTTGAACCCATGTGCCGACAAACAAATGGCACTTACCCGCTTTGCCCTCAACACCTTGTCGCCTATTAACCTCATTCACCTGCTTCGTTTCATTTCCCAACTCCTGTGATGAAAGTGTAAGAATGCTGCTGTAATGCAGCCAAAGAAAAGTCATAATTATAATAATAAATTGATATGAAGATGGGCAAATACATATACGACTAGCCATGAGGGCTTAATGAAAAGAAAGGGGAAAAAAAAAATGTTGTATGTTTTGCATATGTCTGGGCGTTATATGCGTGAAATGAAGAGCTTTTGACTAAAGCAGCGGTAGACAAAGTTTCTCCAAAATCTCTGTCCTCCATTTCATTGATATATTTACCAGATTTTCTGTTGACGCTTAATTAACAATGAACTAATGATGTATATAATTACATGAGAGTATGTTTAGTCATACTTTTCTGGCTTTCTAACAAAAAAGTCTAGAAATAACATTTCAATTAGTGACTTATGGTTTATTTTGAGCTGTCACGACACGAGCCCTTTTCTATTTTTCGTGAGTGGATGTCTTTTGTAATGTGAACTCGGGAAAAAAATAGTCTAAGGATTAGTTATTTTCAGATTTTCCAAGATCCTTCATAATTCTCTAACTTTATTCATTTTTCAAAACGTTGACTCTTCTCCCATCACCAATACTTTCATCTTTCAAATGTGAATTACAACTTTCCTACCCATAAATTGACACAATTTGTAGTTGTGATTTTTTTTTTTTCAATATCATTAAAAAGATTCCACACCCTTCTCACTCTCTTTGTTTTCAATATGTTAGTATTATATCGTATTTGCTATTTTTATAATTTTATTTATTTTTTTCTAACTCCCTAGCTTTTATCACCTGTAATAAAATTTCCCTTTTTTTTGTTAGTTAGGCGTGATCGGAGTAGAAAATAGCAGAAATATGAGAGGTTCAATAAAAAGTCAACAAAAATATTTGTAAATATAAAATGTAAATAGTATGAGTTTGTATGGAAACACTTAGTGGTGTTTGGATACATATTTGTTCCATTTTAGCCCGTTTTGATTGGATAAAGTGAATTATTTTAAAAAATAAATAGACTGAGTGGATGATTTTAAAGTTGAAATTAAATATTATTTAATATGTAATAACTAAATTTTTTGTGATGTAAAAATAGGAAAGAAATGATTGGAAGCTATATATTGTTAAAATTATCTAATTATATATCCCTTCACCAACTGCCAACTTGCCTTCTTTCTTTCCTTTATGCAATGTCCTCTGCCTTAGATCCTGATCTGACAAGTATACAACCGATTGAACATGAGTTTATGGTTAAATGATATTACATCTTTAAAATGGTTATGTGATACAATTAGAGCTCATTTGTTTCGTGAGATAGATGAGACTAAATTAATAGGGGAAGAGTGGATTGTACTATACAGATAAAATAAGACCCACATTTGTTTCGTATAATTGTTAGTTGAGATAAGATAATGTTTCACTCCTCACAATGTTTGTTTCACTAGATAATTTATCGGATATAATTCTACATTGTCAATTTTGACCCCAATACCCAAAATATTTACCATATGCTTGTTCATTATAGCAAATATAATTTATTCCTTATTTCTTTTCATTCCATTCAAACTTATATTTTCCTATATTTTTTTCTTTCACACATTTCTTTCCATTCCATCTTAGGGCACAACAACATTAATATATATTTTTTTTCTTTAGATCCTTTTCTTGTTATCCGTTTCTTTCCATTCCATAATTTTTTTTTTTTGGCAATCCTTTTTCTTTTCACAGCAAAACGACCCTTCTCCTTCATTGCAGATTTTTCTTTCTTCCTTTCCTTTTCTCATCTTTCCCTTTTTATTTTCTTTATTGTAAAAATTGTCTTCATACAGTGTAGCGCCCCATTTATTCCGGATTTAATTGAGGATTTTTATTATTATTTTATTTTATTTTATTCTGAAATTATTTATTCGAGCTCGATAATTCTATTTCGGTTATGTGCTCATAATTGTTAATTTTATTAATTTTAATATCGAGTTGAATAGTATTGTTATTTTATTAAACTGCCAGAGAGAAATAATTACTTGATGATGTATTATTAGTGTACGCTAATAAACATATATTATGTCGGTTTAGTAAATTTAAAGATTTACGAGTCGTCATATTTTATTCTTTCGAGTATTGTATATATACGGAGTTAAAGAAATTGAGCCCGATAACCGGTAATCGAAATTAGCGGATTCGTAAGCCCGTTGTTTACAAATTAATTGAGATTATTATTATTAATATTTTTATTTTAAAATAATGTATATATTAAATAAATATTTCTCGGTTTTTTATTCATTTATCGTGCGATTAATCGAGGCGAAATTTGATGTTTACCACAAGAATGCAAAATAATTGCGTGATTACGAAGTCAAAATTTTTTTTGTAAGCCTACCATATTCATTGCATTTATTTGACCTGCGTGTAAAATTCAGTTACCATGTTAATTGAGATAGGGTTCCTATAATCACGTGTAAGTGAGAAAAGAAAGGTAAGTGTATAAGGATTAAATAATTGGACTCTTTCCACATCGTGCTTGGTCGAAAATCTTGCAATTTTAAATTTAAACTTCAATTTACAAAAAAAATACAGAAACAAGATATAATATATACACTGTGACATATACAGAATATACAGAAATTGAAGCATGTATAGTTATAATTTTTTTTCATCGTTTTCAGATTTTTTTAGTGTATATTTAGTGTATATTTTACGATTTTGTAATGCTCTTGAAATGTTTTAATATTTTTTTTGTTATGTATATGTAGTGTATATTTTACGATTTTTATAATTCACCTTCAGATTTTTTTAGTGTATATGTAGTGTATATACTTATATATAGTAAGTGTATATAATTTGTATATGTTATGTATATGTCTACAGTAAGTCTAAATATATTTTGCAGTTACATCGTGGGAGAGAAATGCAGAGTTTGTGGGAGATAGATGAGGTTGAAAGTGGGGCGTTACGGATGTGAGATAAAATATTTCTTACCAATTACATAGGGAGTAGTTACTTGGTATGTGATAAGTTTTTCGCATTAATTATGGTAAATCTTGATTGCATTCTATTTAAACTCTCTCTGGTATTTTTGCAAATAAAAAGGGTATGTTATGTTAATATGCTAATATTTATTAAGTTGTAATACTTATGTAATAAAATATTATTCTGACCGTATGAAGTGTAATTTTCTCATTAATCGAGCCCGATTATACCCGCGTGAACAAAAAGCCCAGTTCAATTAATGTGTGAATGTGTGTGTGCGTGTAATTGTAAACAAGAAAAAGTCAACAAATCATTTACATATAGATACAACTCATGTATCTATCTTCTCACATGAAAAACAGCATCTCTCCATCTTTGATCCGAGAATCCCTCTCTTTCCCATGTGTTTTTCTTTCTCCTTAAATCTGAGCTCATCCCCTTGCCAACCCTCATCGCCATCTCCTCTCCCTCAATTTCTTCCCGTCACTTAGAGCCGACCATTCTTCTGACGAGCTCTTCTCCCTCCGACGACCTCAGCAAATCCGGCGAATTCAGTTCCGTCGCGCAGTCGCCGTTCGCGAGGTCCTCAGCGGCGAGCCATCTGCAACTCCGGCGATTTCCCTAGAGCTCCTCCGACGTCCGCGACCAGCAGCCAGCCGACGTCACTTCTCTCGCCGCGAGCCGTTCCCGACGAGAACCAGCCGTCCACACGTCAGCCGTGAACTGCCGCAACAATCAGTGAGCTCCGTCGAGTTCATTCTCCATCACGCAGCAACCCAAGCAGTCAAGATCAGTCGCTGCTGCACCTTCGTTCCCGGCGAGACGTGAAAAGCCGTCGAGCCGACGTGCCGTTCGTCTCTTTTCGTTTCATTTTTCCGAGTTCCGTTCGGCCGAGCCGTCGTTCGATCCGTTTTTCCTCCGTTAGCTCGTGAATTTTCGAGAGTGGATAACTCTTTCGAACCCTCTTGTCATTCCGGTCGTGTTCGTATATTACATGATAGCTAAATATATTATTCTTTTTAACGATTATTTGTTTGAAGTCGGATTTTGGTTAGAATTATTACCGGCTCGTAGATGTCGTTTCGGTTATCGTATTATGTTCGTGACCTCGTTAAACCGAATATCATGTTGTTACTATGTTAAACCTCAATATGCTCGTTTATTTGCTGTCGAGAAAATATATTGATCGTTGTCGAGTTTCAAACCATCCGTTTTTATTCGTTGGTATTTTATGTGAAAAATATGTTTTTTGCTGATCTGTTGTGCCGCGTTTTAAGCTATCTGAGACTGGTTATTTGAAAATGTGGTCTTCACATGAATTGTAGTATGTTCAGTTTTCTAAACCTGGGATTTAGAATTTCTCGATTCCAAGTTATATCGAATAAGTTGTGATTTTTACAAAAATGTTGCGCGTCCAGTTTTCCTGCTACTCGGCAGCGTATCTGTAATTAATGTGTGACCTGTTTATCATATTGTAATGTGCTCGTATGAACTTATACCATTCATGAAAGTTATAGATCTGTTTCTTCCCTTTCAAATGAGATAAGTTGCATGATGTATGTGCTCTGTGGCTCGAGTTATGATTTTATGAAGTTAGATATACATGATTTAGGAATTATCATGTTGGCAGAAATATGGAACTGAATGTTAACCGATTTTTGACCATTCCAATGAGCTCATATGTTTCTGTGTTCTAAAATGAAAGTTGTAGAGGCATGCTTAAGGTTTAATTTGAGATTTTAATATCATTTAGAGGTATGTAGCTCTAGATAAGTGTTAAGAACTGAGGTGCTGTCTATGTCATATATTAAATCCTGACAGGTTTTCTGAATCTCATGTTTTGTGTTTAAACTCATTGATAATGTGATTATTTGCCAATGTGATCTTCAGAAACGTTGTAGACATTTGACTTATCTATCATGTGGATTTTGAAATTCATTAAAAGCATGACCGTAGCTCCAGTTAAATAGAAATTACTGAAGTCTGGTCAAGTGTATTTTTCCAGTTTTGGATTGTGACTCAAATTTTGATGTTTGTTGGATTATCACCGGTTAAATGACCTCATTTGCCTTTGGTGTCTTCATAAGAATTGTAGATTTATCTCTTAGGATTCCAATGCAATTTGATTGATGTTCATACGAGTTGTGTGCTGAACGTTATGTCAATTTTAAAAACGCTGCCCGGGTTAACTTTTTCAAAACTTATGTGGATTCATCTAATGCATGCTTGAATGCTTACGTGGACTTAGTTGAATTAAGTAAATTGTTTGATAAGGCTATTTTAATAAATGTAGGTGTTTGACGAGTCGACCTCGCCGACTACTATTCTTGTGTGTTTGACTCGATCGCTACCAGGTGGGTTCATTTATGTTGAATCTACATTTATCGCACTTGTTATTTCATATAAATGTTTGTCG